AGTAGTGAAAACCCATACAGTTTCTATACCATAGTGTTACAATAACGTGTTGCGTACACATGCTGGTCAGCGTGCTGTGACGAATGTGCGTTTTAACAGCGCTCAAAAAATTATCCTTAGAGATTCTTCGTAGACAACTGATTCGTACGTAGTTTGCAACAATAAGACTATTCACACAAGTTGTCAAGGAAAAATATTCAGTCTATTCTACCCTCTTTCGTTTGATGTTTCTCTTAGGTAATGTTTAAATCTATTCACCAATAACGCTTTTCTAACTAAGAAGTATCCGAAAAAAATTTTAGCAGGTACGCATAAATATGTCTGTATAAAAACATTGTGAAGCACCTCACACTATAATGCATTATCAAATAATAAAAAAAGCACTTTTTAAAATGATGCAACGCCAAGAATTTTTTTTTTTTTTCATTATGCTTGGTTCTCGTTTATCACGTAGATTAAAGTATCCCAGTTTATTGTGTAATAGTAAATAACTATAAAATTAACATATTATACGTTGCACTTTGTTCATCGTGTGTTAATCTCGTGTACTAAGTACTAGTATTAATTAAAATCATTGGCCACGATAAAATGGAGATATTTATATCGTATGAAGTGCAATGGAGATTTGATTGAATGGTTAGCCGTGTACTATATTATTTTTTGTAGCTCAATGACTGGTAAACACTTTGTTTTTATCTACTAGTAATCCAACTCTTGTTGTATATATATACCCAATGAAAAATAAACAAAACTGTTTTAATGCATTCCACTCAAATACATAATTCATTACAGCTAATACGAGGTGTACATCAAAGTGACAATATTTATCTACATACCAAACTTGAATACCAACTATTTTTTTTGTCAATCATAATTTATGCACATACCGCACTAATGTGCCAAACTTTATTTTTTTTAGAAATAGATATTTCTTTTAGTCGATTTTAGCAATAAAAATAAATAAATAGTTTGTAGTGCGTACGAATTGAGCTGCTACACATTTCTATGTCAAAATTGTGCTTTTGAGAAATCTCGAAGACGACCTCGGATCTATTTATTTTTTTAGTGTGTGCCACGTATTGGTTGACGGATCTTCGTCGTGATATACTTTAGGTCATCTAGATTTCGGTCAAATACCATTAATTAAATTCCTTCGTCAAGGTTTTATTCGGGTCTTTTGTTTGCCAGCGCGTGTCACATGATTTTACAAGGTTCACTTTGATCACACTATTAATTGGTAATTTTTTAACTAATGTTACTGGAAATTTATATTGTGTTGCCTAAAATCATTGACATAATAATGACGACAATAATAACTATATTATACCATCTTGGTGCGAAATGAATGAACGATTGATCTGTAATGTAGAAACCGGAGTATAGCGCATGTGTCACTCTCAACACAATGTTTTATAATCGATCTTTGTTTCGATCACGATCAGTCCTGGAACTCCGTGGCCCGATATTTACTCCACGCAATGACCCACATACGTTTTCGGTGTCGGCAGCATCCACTTTCACGCGCAAAGAGCTTTAGTAAACATTACAAACAATATAGGTGACTTAAATAGCAACTGCTAAATGGCGTGCCGAACGTCGTGAAAAATGACACAATGACAGACACGTAGTAACTTTTTTAGACTATTAATTCTTCAGTGTTTACGGTGTTAAAGGTATGAAACGCTTTATTACAATTTATCAGAAAAACGGTGTACAAAATGTCTTATAGCAGACTGAACGCGGGTCGTCGCCCGTTTAGGTGTTCCTAATGGACCGTTCCATTTGGTTGCAAAACCCTCTGCTTGTAATCGTATCCATTACACGGCCAATTGCGTGGGTAGTGGCAGCGGCGGTGCTCTCAATTATCATTAGACTCTCATTAAAATTCTACTTGTCCAAACGTTTTGACCGACGTACGTCTACGACCATTGCGACCGGTTTACGTGACCCGTGATGCAATGCGGTATGTCAGAAATATTTTTTTTTTTATATATATTTTAAGCATGTCGATACAGAAATCTATACGTTCTCGGTGTTTGAGTATCTCGATTCAACATCGTTTTCACGTGATGAGTATTATCCTAGTCTACAAAATTATCCATTTCAGTTAAATTTATATATTTTAAGAGCTACGACCCAAAAGCATTCGTGGTGGACGTCTTCGGTTGACTTGGACGTGCAAAAATTCCTCGTACGGCGCAGAAACGCCAGGACCGGTTCACGGTCGCACAAACAACCGGTTTTCAATGCCGATACATTACATATTATTATTTTATTGTGCACATATGCACGTTCGAAATTGTCTCAGTTGTCGGCATAAAGCACCGCATATCAACGCGTTGGTGAATAGGTTTATTTATTTTTGAAATATTGCAACGTTCAATAACTATCTGTTTCATAACCAGGCGCCTAACATTTTGTACAAAACGTGTTACGCAACTAGATTTGGTCTACAACTTGTGGTAACAATAACAACAAATAATAAATCTATTGACTACATAGTAAAAAATATTTGCAATAAGGGAAAATGGTCCCTTTGATTGTTTTGATAACGTACACCAGGTAAAATCGTTGTCCTCTTTGGCGGCAACTGGGATTTTAACGGATGGGCATTTTTGATGATCAAACAGGTGTATTCATTGGCAGGGCCGTTAAAAGAGGCTGAAGATTGTCGGACCTAAACAAATATTGAAGGTCTTGAAGATGTGTGTTGGCTACGGCAACGTTTTGTCAAAACGTTTTACAATGCAAGGTTGCTTTTTATAACTTGCCGACCTAACGCGCGACAATATTCAATAATTACTCATATTTCGGAACCTGTAACCTATTAGTACTGGCATTACGTTGTTATTATTGTTTTAAATAACCTCCAAAAGATTTTTCATACCAGCTTATATGTCTTCCTAGCATTGCGAATTAAAAAATTACAGCTTTCTGAACGAGTAATTTTGATCGAGCAATTATTATACTCTCCTCCTCGGTTCGTGGTCTCGGTCCGGTCGGTTTTTTTTTACACATTCCTCGCAGTATGAATGAACTCGGCGAGATGCAAACGAACCGACTACGACGATGACAGATCCTACGCACCTGCTTTACTTACGAATATCCTCTCCAAGACACAAACGCTTCATCCGACAGATTAAACAAGTGCGTTAAGCTTGGCAAAGTAGAAACAATAAAGTATAGAAATGAACCGTTATACAAGGTTCGTGTGTCTCTCCGAACACAATAGATCCCGGATAACAACAATAATGAACATGTAACTCGCCAAACTTGACACATACCACCTATTCCTTTACTACCTATGTACATTTTCTAAATCGGCCGTCTTTCACGCGCCATCATTGCGTTCACTGCGTGGTCCGAACCGATTACGGTGGCGTCAGTCATAACGATTATTTTTTAATCTCTTCTCACTCTGTCCGTAACGTCAAAAACTTCAAAAAAGAATCCATAAACTACGAGAGTAAAACAATGTATCTATCACAACAAGTTCCCGGTAAAAGCACAGTTCGCGCCTAATATGTGGTCAATTACTCTTCTTTCGTCCACCGTGGAAACGACTACGGAAAACGTTTGAGTTATTTTTGCTATGTTTGATGTATCGCACACAGTTGTGTGAGCTTCATACATTTCGGTCGCATAATATTCTTATTATTGTAATTATTATTATGCAATTGCTGACGACGGTAACGAAACCGAGATATCCTCAACGGCCGGCGAACCGGTTTCAAACAATGTTCGGAATGCGCCGAGGACCTCGTGTATCTCCTACGTCGCCGCGTTTGTCTTCCTCTCCCTTTAGCCGAGCGGTCGTCTTCTCGTCCAGGCTAATATCCCGAATAATAATCATATTATATACGGTCAACGGTGGCGGCAGCGGTGGGCGTAACCTCTGGAGGAAATTCGGTAGCACGACTACATAAATCATCGTGGGTATGGATCATTAGTGTGGAATCTGCGTATTGACGTATACGAAAAGGAACCGGGGCAGGAAAGTCTCGGAGAATAGAAGGAAATGTATTTATAGTAGTCTTATAGTGTAGGTAGAACGTTAATGGCACATTATAATATAATAATACCTTATAGTTACCTGCGAAACTAATAGTAGTCATTCGAAGACGATTAAATTTTTTGCCAAGTTCAGGCACACGCTTTTTCCTTTATAACGTTATTCAATTAATCGTCGAGAATAATTGGAATCAAGCTCGTATACTCGCACATTGTCTGTAATCGAATAATATGAGAGGGTCAACAGCTGAGGTCGTACAAAATTTAAGAAAAAATAACGAAATAAATTTTTATTACAAGTGATGTGTTTCGTGCCTATCGTGTTATTCCTTCCGGCGCACTTAGCGACAAAACGTTATAATCATTTCGACCGGATAATAAGAATAATGCGATTTTACATTGCGTAAAAACCATATAAGTTTGCCATAAACCGGTTCTATTTGTACACGCGCCAATGTGCCTGCTCATCATTAAGTTTTATGTTATTCTCTTTCAAAGGACTTAATGAAAATATCGATAAGAAACGCATCAGCCATTCATTTTATTTAGACAAAACAGCCTTACAGAGGTGATTAAATCGTAAAATACAACTTTGAAAACAATAATTGTATTTATGAAACATAATGTAACGTCGGCTTGGTAAAGTTATGTTTTAAGCCCTTTCGGCGTTCATTTAGCGACACGATCAATAGTATTAATAATTTTTACAACTGTACCGTGAAGATTAATAATAACTAATTAAAAACGCACTAGAGTTAATTAAGCGAATCATGGCCAGTATATAACGTATAACTAATTGTCGCCGTCTTGTATATCGTATCTCTCTATTGTGTTTGAAGCTACATAATTAACATCGAAATCATTTTAATCAAAGTCTTTACTAATGTTATTACCCTTTAAAAATTGTTGCTTATAAAAACCATATTATTATTTAGTATTGATGACTTTTTAAATAGTTGCACTAACAGTCAATTTTTTTTTTATTACAGAACACGAAATGATGGGTCATTCTCAAAGGTTAATTGTTCTTCCGTGGCTACCATTAGAGAACTTCCAAGTACCAAGCAAAATCATATCAACGGTAAATATTACATAAAGTCTTCTGGTCTATCGGCAGGTGCACGCATGACAGAAACTTGCGAAGGACAAACAACAAGGCACAGGGCACCACTGCCACCCGTTGAGGTCAGTCGAACAAATATTTTAGAACGCCACTATCAATATTTAATTAATTAATTGATATCTAATCACCATACATTTAATACAAAACTCACAGCGGAACTTAAATAACAAATTGCATTTTTTTCGATTTCACTACGTTCGTGGTATGATTAAAAACGCTCATTTATATTGAACTATTATACGATATTCGTTAATAAAACGCATAGGTATTTATAACGATTCTCGTAATAAATGAGAAGCGCAAGATTTTTTTAAGTATTTCGTGCGTTTTAAAATACCATGTCTGGGGCAATCTCATTCTCTGACGTGATTTGAATAATGCAAAAAAATGTCAGTATCGACGGGTACACTTGTGTGTCGACAAGATGATGACAAACCAGTTCATAGAGTTACCCGCAGTTATGTACAACAAGAAAAAAATACTGTCGGTGGGTGTTCCGCACAATGGTTGCACTTAAAATGAAAAAAATCAAGGACGAATTTGAGGTCGACGTAGTTAGAAGAATCGAATTGTAGGGTACTTTTTTCTTAGCACACAAAAACCCAAAGAAACAATGTATTTCCTATTATATTATATTAACAGAGAATAACGTGATAGGGTTTCCATTATTCATTTAGTTTTTACTTCTCTTACGACAAGGTTAATCTTATCATTAATTCAGATACCTGTGAGTTATTGTAAAACGAGCATTCGTGAATATACGAAAACTTTTCATTCGTGACACAATAATAAATGGTCGGGGGGGTGTTTCTAGGTCAAGGAGATAAGTGGACACGAAAAGTTTCCGTCCTGGCCGGCAGCCACAGGGACCAAAAGCAATGGAATGTCCGCCGTTACCACTCGACCGTCAAAGTCCTGGGCCGAACAAACCAATAACCCGAAGGAACAACCGCCACCAATCGTCCGGCCGTACCCCAAGAGGCTCTCCAACGGTCTCTACACGCAGCAAGTAAGCGTAATACTTATCACGTGCCACGTGATCTCTGTGTAGTTAATATTATAATTATTATTCGTTCAATGCGATCGTCGTTGTGTAACACAAACATATAGAAATCATTACCATTGGTTGACCTATTGGGCGTTTCGGTAATTTTTCATCGTCTTTGCTCTTTACCACAAAACGTGTACGTTTTTATACAGTGTATTACGCGCAGTCTGTGTACAAATACTTGCGTTTAAGTAATTCGGCGGTGAAAGTCGAATAATGACGCGGAGGATTCATCCAAACATGAAGATTTTAATAACGAGATATACATATAAGCAATTTCGTGTTATTAATTATTATTGTTAGACAGTAGGGAATTTCAATTTACCATACGAAATTGTTATTATTTTTCTTGTTTAGCTCTTCTACCGTTATTGTTAGCAGCACACATACAAAATAATGATAATTCGTATTGTACTGTTAAAATGTGTGCGCATGCTGTTAGCGGTAGGCGGAAGAGGTTCAGTGACTCAGTACATCAGCTTCACGCTTTAGTTCAACTACTAATGCCATCCTCTTCATTTTACCAAGCCATTGAATCCATTATGGTAGATAGATCTTGACCTTCAATTTGATATTAGCACTAGGTGAAAATATTTCTTCTGCTCATCTCGGTCGTGTTTATACTTTTAATTATGTTCATCAATATTGCGTAATCTTCATTTTTTATCAACTGAATAGAAACGCATAAACATCAATTCGTAGTTATAATAATAGATTTGTAATTATAATAATTATGCAGCAGTGCTGTGCTTGTATTTGCGATCTCACCCGTGCAGTGTTATTTGATTTTATCAAGTTTCTAATGCCTATTTCCATTCCGGTACGGCTATTTATTATTATTATTATTTCCGAATTTGATTTCCTAGTCCTCAAAGGAACCGGCGTAGTTATTGCGCCGTTTGCGAATTATATGCTGTAGACGTTGTTTGGTTCTTGTGTAGATTATTTAGTCAAGCGTATAGAGTTTCGAGGGATCACTAAGTGATCGCGCGGACGCGTTCATTCTGGCGATTGTCTGCCCGTCTCGTATGTTCTCTTGAATTTATTGAATCTCTGAGAATTCCGGCTGTTCGAGCGACGTTCGCTCTGTTGTTGTGTATTGGTTGTGTTCACACCACTGTTGGAGAATTCCTATGTAACAATCCCGGCGTACATCGACCGTGTCCAGTATTCGCTGCGAATCGATTTGTCATCAATCGGCCGTTCATGAGAAGCAGGCGTGTCGAATACGAATAATGAGCGAAACACTTTCGGTGTTAATAGCGGACGAATGTTTGTTTAAACGAAACCGGTTTTAGACTTTTAGATACCGCCGAAGTTTTTGACCCCTTCGGCTATTGTTTGAGAAACACATTATTACGATTGAACATTTTTACCAAAATGTGCTTTTGTCGAACTTGTCCGATATGGTTAATATCTGTTGTGGTTCTTAGCTCAAAACAGTAATGGAACGTTGCGAGAAGGGAAAGCGCGAACCTTTGGACAGTGTGGTGCGCTCAATGAAAACCAAGTCCAGTTACGTCGAAAGGCCAATTGCCGAAAAAAATTACTGTGTGCCATTAACGATGGATTCTGACTCGAAATCTCAACTCACTCAAGCTCAGCTGGAAAAGTACTCGAGAGCTTACGATGACTCGCCGCACGTGCGTTACTTGATTATAAAAAAAATTTATTTAAAAGTGTTCATCTTATTTCCATTTTACAGCGAGAAACAGACGAATACTCGAGCTGTTTTGACGGTAGCGACAGCATGTTGTCTAGTCACCTGACTAAGGAAGAGCTGGAACATTACACTCGTATCTACGAAGAAAAGTCCACCTCTCAGATTAGTCTTACTGAAAAAGTGGTTCCTTCTCATCAACATCAAACGTCGTATGCTCAGAGCGAAGGATACCATAGTTACGTTTCTAGCACTGATTCTACTTCCACTCCCTTCTTGGATAGGTAAATAAAACAGACGTTTAAACAATAATGTATTATTTAGTATTAACGTTTTTATTCGTAATGACTCAATAATATTAAACTAACGTTTTATTTAGGCTTCGCAGAGAAAACGAATCTGTAGTTGTTGTCAGTAAGGACTCGGAAAAGCCTACTCAAGGGCGAGACTCCAGTGCCAGTTCGGGATCATCGAGCGAGACGCTTAAATGGCATGGTTCCAATAGCGATCTTAGTACTGTATCCAATGGAGGTCATCGAGTAACAACTCAGCACATAGCACATAGCGCTAAAGTGTCAGCTCCCCAGAGACATCATTCGGAAACTGTTCAGAGCGTTACAGAAAACTGGTCTGGAAATCAAGAAAACAGGAGTAGTACTCAGAGAAACCTAAGAAAATTGTTTCCTGTCAGTACATATACTGTGCAGCCAGCCGCGGTTATGGATGAAAAACTCTCCCCAAAGTACGAACTACAAGTTCATCATTATACAGGGCGATTTATTAAGCATACTACCCCCGTTTCTAGTTAAATAATAATTTCTCCACTAAAATGTATAAATTAATATTTATCTTTACAAACCTTAGTAAAAATCAAGTAAGAAAAAATTATTTCTAAGGGCAGATTTTATAAGTGACTTTCAAAAGTTAAATGAAAAACATTATTATTTTTTTACTATTAAATGGACGATATGTTAAATAATATATAGCTGGTCAATAACCAATTTTGCAATATTATTTGATGAGGTATTAACATTAAAGATCTAGAAAAGGTGAGGAGCAAAGTAGTGTTAGGAACAAAAATAAAAAGTCTTTCACATTGCGCATCCACCTACCTAAAACTATTCATTATATTAACATTAAAAGAAATATTACAAACCAGATTATCAACATATAAATTTTTTAGACTATTATCCATTTAATAGTAAAAAATAACAAAAGGTTTTTATTTAAAATTCGAAATTTTCTCTAAAATTTACCCTTAGGAATAATTTTTTCTTTAATAAACTTTATATTTGCAATGGATTATAAAAATAAATATTTATAATAATTAATATAATTAAATATTAATCTATCACTTTTATGAAAAATATAGCGGTAGTGTTCTCAATAAATCACACTATTAACTTTATATCAATGCTTCAAAATAGTGTTTTACTCAATGATTTCAAAAATTATTAAATAATATCGATAGACTCTAACAGTAATTAAAAAATTTCATTTTTGTAAGATTAGGAAATTAATTTCTAGTTTTTTACTTAAATCCTTGTAAAATAATAAAAAATATTGCATTTTAAAAACTGCTCATTATAACTTATTATTATTTACTGTCTATAATACTATTATAATAAAATTTATTGAAATTTTGAACTGAAGTATATGCATACTTCAGTTTAGTAAAGTTTTTAACTTTACTATATTTAAATAGACATCATTTTAAAGATTTCATTATTTAATTTTTCAAAAGTAAATGAAATGATGTTATCATATATACATTTTAACTTAGCAATGTGATGTTTTTAATTCAATTGATCCGATTTCAAGAATTATAACTATATTACACTTATTTAAGATTTTGTTCTATCAAAGAATGTTACCTGTATTTGAATATAAGATTAATTCTTTTAATTTTACTGAGCCAATATTATAAACATTTTGTAACTATATGTTATAATAAGATTGTTTTAAATAACAACTTTACAGATCTCCTCCAGCATTAAGTGTGGCAGAACGAATAAATGAGTTAGAGAAACAGCAACAACAACTGCAAGCTTCAAACAAACTCATGTATTATGATCCCGAAAAAAAACACAAAGTTACTGATCAATCTTTAAGAGCAATACAAAAACAAGCTTTACTATCATTTTATGAAAGACACCAATCTGGATCATCATGGCGATCTGAACCTCAGCTTTCGCCTCCACCTCGTCCACCACCAATACCTTCTCGTCCTAGACTACCAACACCTTTGTCTAGAAGATCTTCTATTTCTTCGGAATATGATACACCAACAAATTGGAACGATGTTAGTATCATTAAAATGTTTTATTTTACCCTATTATAATTACATATAATAGGACTTATTTGAATATTTACAACAGAATATATTTTAATCGTTAATTTACAGGACTGCTCTAAGGATGATACTTCGACTGAAGACACTAACAGTAGTAGTAATTCTAAGGAACTCAATAAGAATCAGCATAGAAGGTAATATATAATTTCAAATTGGATTACAATTAATGATACCTATACTTTACTCCTTAAATATTGTAAATTTTTACTACAAACAATTTTTTCCAATATTTTTTTTTTTTTAATAAAATATTTTCTTTATTTGTCTATTGACAATCTATACAATATGTACAATAAGTAAATTTGTTAAATTAATTGATTACTTGAGTAGGATGAATGGGTAGTTTACATTAGAATCCCCTCATAATTAAAGTAAAGTATTTATATTGTTAGTTAAAGTTTTGTTCCATTATGAAACTTAATTTATTAATATTGAATTAAAGTATAATTTTTATAAAATTTTAAATCAGTATTTAAGTACTTTTACGATTTATTTTTCTCAATAGATTCTAATACTGAATGCAGACACGTTTAAAAATTGACATATATACTGATGCATGCAAGTTGGTTTGCATAACCATTGCCCCTTAGTTTCTGCCTCTTAGTTTTTGTTCAATATACTTTTGAATACTCATAATTATTTTGAATAATTGTCTTTTATTACTTATAGTTCAAGTTGCGGTTCACTCTCAACAGCTGTGTTGGGACCCATGGTGCTTGGACCATCAATATCAATTGATGATTGGGTCCCTGAATTGCCACCCAAAAAGAAATCTATGCAACCAGTTCGACAAATACCTGTCAAAAGAGATACAAGTCCGGATTTGCCACCACCTCCTCCTATGGTAAATGAAGAAAACTTTATTTCAGATGAACCTCTCCCGCCTCCTCCGCCAGAAGCTATATGGCCGAAACCCGAATCTCTAAAAAATGATAAGTATTTAAGTAATGGAAAAGAAATGAGACTGGAAAATAGTTTTAGTACTGTCGAAGATGTTCTCAGGGAAAACAGTTTAAACGAGTTCCCTGAATACAAAGATCCCAAAATGATGAGCGAAAAATCAAAATCTCTGTCTTATATATTTGATAATGTTCCCAAAGCCATGCCACAAGCTCCGGCTAAATTATTCACCATTGAACCCACAACTAATGGTACAGATGAAAAGCTTAAAGAGTTTGGACGATCTTTAAGTGTACGAAGAAATAAGTTGACCATACCAAATAAAGATTACTGTAGGTCAGAGTTTTCGGCCAGGAAGTCTGTGTTTCAAGGCGGCTCAGTACCAAAACAAGTTGTTATGTCGACCGTCAAACCGCCAGCTTTTAGTGCAACAACTGTACAAAATAATTTGGTGAAACATCAAATATGTACACCACTAAAAATTGCAAGAGAAGCTGATAAAAGTAGATCTCTGTCAATAAAAAAAGTCGTTGGACCGTTAAAAGCCTCTGGAGTTTTTCCACCTTCATTAGAGCCTAGCTGTCCACCAACACTTTACCAACAGTAAGTAATTTATATTACTAAGTTTTTCTTTAGCTAATTAATTGATTTTATTTAAAACTAACTAAAAAAGATAAAATATATACAATATAATTAAATACAATTAAACGCTTATGTTTACAGGGGCGTATTCGCATATTTTCCGCCTATAGGCATTTAAAAATTTCCCGCCCTTCACTATGTTATAACGAAGGGGGCTCACTTTCGCTATAACATTACTAGTTCTTCCTCCAAAAAAAAAAAAAAAAAATAGTATTTAAAAATATTTTGCAAGCAAATCTATGTTATTAATAAATCACAAAATAAATTACTTGTAGTTATTAATATACATATTATAAATACACAATAAATGAAAACGATTATGATAATTATAATTATCATTAATAATCCTAATTATCCTAATAATTATTAGGAAGTCAATATGTCTTAACAACAATAAAAAAATAACTCGCTTTTTATAAAATTGTTGGCCTTCAATATTTGCTGCCCCTTAAAATATGCCGCTATAGGCAGTTGCCTATATTGCCTGCATATAAATACGCCACTGTATGTTTATTTTAAGCACTATAGTTCTTACTGCATTGGCGGCGTTTGATTTCAGATTTATTATTCATTATTTTTATATGTAATTTAAATTAGGCTTTAGGAGAAATTAAATAATAGCTTTTGTTTCTAAACAATAACCAAATATAATATAGAAGTTGTTTTTTCCTAAATAAATAAAGTCATTTTATTTCTAAAACAATATAGGTCAAGGAAAATGTCATGTTATTTTGCCTACTCTTGGCCATATATTTTATATTTCATATTTTTAATTATAAGAAAAGATAAACAATGTTTGAGTTTTTTGCTTACGGAACAATATTAAAGCAACAGCATTACAAAATGAACACAATTACATATGCTTTAGTTTAGAATAAGTTGCGTAACCGATTCTGCCTTCATTAGTTTATAGATCAGTATTTACCACGTCAATTTTTGTTAAAAGCGACTGTTTTTTAACATGAAAATTAAATTTTATCAAATAATTTTGTCATTTAACTTGACTACTATGAATTCAAGAATATTTTTTGTCGCTGTAAAACTAAAAGTGACTAATTTTATTTGTTTTTACTCAATGCATGAATATACGTTTTAATTGCTTTGTTTAATTAATTTCTCTTAATTTACTTTATTGGAAACATTAATTATGTTGTTACACCATACAAAATAGACAAGAACATTTCACTGTTTGTATGAATTTCTTTAATAAAGCTATTTGATTGTTTTAAATTGTTCACGTTAAAACGTCAATAATTATAATTGGTAATATTGTTTAAATTTTCTATTGTGACGTTCTTAAATATCACTCCATCATCACTCTGACAAGAAACAGTGATAGCTCTTCATAAAAACCCGGACACGGTAACATTAATAAAAGTTTTAACTCGTTAAAATTTGTTGAAAATATTCTGTTGTTAATTACTTGTTAAAGTCATTATAGTAATGAATGTTACATGTTTTGTCACCGTTTATTTACGATAATTTGAACTTATTTGAAGTTGGTTTATATTTCTTGGTATTGAGTCATATAAAGCCACTTAACATGATAAAAACAATATTTTACCGTTCATAGTTAACAATAAAATAGTTCAATATTGTTAATTAACCGTAAGTTATAATATAAACAGTTATCCGGTTATTGAGACAAAGTGTTTTAGGATATCACACGATCGTCGGCAGTGACTTGTATCTAAATGTGAAGAAAAAATGAACTCAATGAACACCTAATTGAACTCGACCTAAAATCATTATTAAGAGATGATTGGCAAAAATTGAAAACTGTCAACTAATAAACATTATAACCGTTCTTAACGAATTATTTGTATTACATGCCTATTTTGCTAACGAAAATTCTAGTCTGTAGTAATAATGAATACAAGCTCATTAACTTCATTAAGATTTTAAATTTGAACTCAAAAAATTATACACAAATTTCTTGTAAGAATAAGACTCTTAATACCAATATATACGTTGAACTAGAAAGTGGAAGTCGAGTATGATTTGTAATTTATGCATTTTGAAACAACTTGATTATTGTCAACTGTTTTTTGTAGTTTTGACTGTTCTTGTAGTCGTGTTCATTAGTTGTAATATCCTACGAATTTTATCTCGAATAAAAATATAACAAAATCACATGATTCATAGATAAAACTCTGATTCAATGAGGTTCAGTTAAAACTAATCTATTTCTTTTTGTACGTGCAATCTTGGGCGTGTTTGTGGAGTTTGTATAACGAAAAATACCTAGTCTATAATTATTTTAACGTTAACACTATATCAGCAACATAAACACAATTCGGATGATCCGTTTGACAGATAAAAATATTATAAGAAGTAAAAGCTGTTCTAGTTAAAATAAAGTGACGGCGAAAAGCATTATGGAAAAAAATGTTAAATAACCTTCTCATTCTTTTGGAACTTACTAGTGACAATGTTTAGAGGCGCCATTATCGTTTCAATCTACAACTGTAGAAAAGGAAGTTATTGTGAGGTTTATATGTGTAATTTTGATCCAGCCAAATCCAATTAACTGTACACAATGAACTCTGTTAAATTACACAACACTGTCGTGTCTAGAGTATATATTGTATTTACCTATATGACACTTATGTACTAGATAAATTGGTTTTTATTATTTTTTACTGATTGACTTAATATCATCCATAGAAGCGTAAACCTTAGTAATAAGCCCATCTCTCAGTAACGGCATCGACAAACAATTATATTGGCTAAGTATAATGGATGTAGCACGCACGCCGTCGACACTGTAAAGATTCAACAACAAAAAGGGTGAAAGTATCGCAGAAAACATAGTGAGAGTATAGGTATACACGAGGGGACGATAGCTGAACAAGGGGCACGGGAATATTGTCTCGGCAAGACCATATGGATAACGCCCACCTGTGATGTCCTTTGTTGCTGTTAATAACAACAAAAACGTTGGTAATTATTAATAGGTATCTTAATTACTCGTTTACGACGTGTTGACGTCATGCCTGTAGATGAGAGTTGGACTTGTTTTGATTCGTCAAACCAATGGACTTCATTGTTTTGAAAACTATTTGGCGTTCCTTTTAGGCATTAAAGAAAAATGGAGAGGTGGATAATTAATAACACTTCGTTCGGAAGATATCGCATGTCATTATTCGGTTTCAATTTTCTACTTCCGTTAAATAAAAACACACACAATAGACATCATCATCCGTTTCCACTAAAAACAAAACATTCTTGTTGAACATTTACCGACCGTTGCAGGCAATTGGAGCAATGGCTTATACTACCAAGTAGGTAATTTGCATAATATTATATTGATGACTTTGACGCAACACATAGAGTTATTAAAATCGTTATTATTTTACAAATCAAGTATATTATGTTACACTCCTGTGGTCTTCATAATTATGTTTTTATATTTTGTGGTAATGGAGTAGGTGTGCGGTTAGGCCTGGACGGATGACATGATTCGCGTAATTTGGATGCAAACTGGATTTACGGTGCGCAAGAAGCAATATTGCGTTTTTCTATAGAAAGTTTTTTTGTGACATACGTTTCCGCGCTTAATAAACTTGTTTTGATCGACACCAGAGCTCTTCAATGGGCTTTGTAGTGGTATCGATCAATGATGAAATAATATCTTAACGCGACATGAGCGATTGTCCAACATCGTTAGAATAATATTGATCTCTAGCATTATTTGGTTTTCCCTTTACGATTAATTATTTTATTTATTTGTGCATTTGATAAAAAGGTCGTCTAACGACAACTGGAGCAAATAGTGCTGCGTGTCAGGGCAACTGCGATGACAAGACAAAAACCCATAAACCAGTCAAGTAGATAATGTTAGGCCACACTCCAACGCCAAAAAATTATGTACCAGCTCAGCATAGACACGATTCCGTGTTGGCAGCGAGAAGATCGTATCGACTTTAGCGAAGATTTGTACTACAATGATTTCATCTATTTCCACGTTTTGTTCTACTCCGGCGGCTATAAATCTTGTAAATACGATGGTCAGAAGCGTAAAGATTTTTAAGTATAGATCTCGGCCTGTTTATTAGCTAAAAACGTTGCTGTTTATAAACTATTATAATCTCAATCAAAACGTACTCGTATATTCCTATCACGTTTGTTCGTAACTTTGTTCACACATTTATGTTGGTTATTTTTATTTTTTGTGTTTTCACGTCGACCCATTTAATATAGGGTAACATAAAGCACCGGAAATTTATAAGGAAACCTTTTATTTAATTTTTAACACCGCCGTCGTCCTGGTTAAGTGCGCCTCCACTATCGTATAAAAAATGATGGCTATTGCATTAGAAGAACATCGTCTGGACGTTATTCACCCAAGGACCGTGTTTAGAATATATTAACGTGCTGTGTCATAATACATGTGTTTTATTAATCGATTTGTGTACCCACGCGCCTCCGACACTTTCCATCTCGCCAAATCCAATTAAGCACGCATTAGACATATATTCTAAATAAGTGGCAGTTAAAGTAACAGTAATATTGTTATTGTAACCCGGTAAACACGACGGTGTGTCTTATGGTCGGCGACCAGGAAAATTATTTTATTGTGATCGTTTTAATGATAAACGTCACCGAGAGAGAGTGAAGCAAAGCGTTTCGATATGCGTATCATTATAAACGTATGGGCGCATTCTTTCTGCAGACATTTGACTTCCTCGTGTGACCCAACGTGTGAAACGATGATCGCGTTTCCTCTTGCACCGTGTACACAGTGTTTATTTACATGTTCGTTGAAGCTCTGGTGACTCGGAGTCGTGAACTCCACAATTGCCATCTGCGATGGATTACCACGACTCTGCATATGTGTTCATACCAATACACTCGACGTATAACGGGGTTTTTGCCATACAAGGTGGACATTAGCATAAAAAAAAGGTACTAATCGAGCTATTTAGAAGAACCAACGTCATCTTTCGCCTCCGCCGATT